TTTAAATAAAATATTTAATAGTAATTTTTCGTTATTTATATAAATTGTTATATTAATGATATTAAGCAGTAAGAAAAATTAATGTTTAAATATTTTAATATAATTTGAAGAGAATGGAAATATGAACAGTTTGTCGTTTTTATTTTAATTTTTCTTAATTTAATTTCTGATATTACATTAAAATATTACATTAGAATCATAATTTGGTTTAAAAAATTAATTCATTAAAGTATGTGTGAAACTATGGCGCATTATTTTATAAAAATATAATAAATTATAAATTATTAAGAGATTTGGTTTATTTTCTATATTTTTAATAATTTTATAATTAAATTGGTAAATTATTCGGCTCTATATATTTAAACAACATGATATTTTAATAACGAGCACTAAGAGCCTACAAAACGCGGATGGCAATGCGTGAATTATTTCGAACATTAATTGTTCGCGAAAAATTTTTAAGACACATGCACACATGCCAAGTTACAGATTCTCTTGGTTTGAGACTTCTATAAATTTTTAAGACATATGCACATATGCCAAGTTATAGATCCTCTTGGTTTGAGACTTCTATAACACCCCCTTTTACCCCCCTGGAGAGATGTAGACAGGAAAAATATTATAAATAATATTAAAAGGGGGTGTTATAGAAGTCTCAAACCAAGAGGATCTATAACTTGGCATATGTGCATATGTCTTAAAAATTTATAGAAGTCTCAAACCAAGAGAATCTGTAACTTGGCATGTGTGCATGTGTCTTAAAAATTTTTCGCGAACAATTAATGTTCGAAATAATTCACGCATTGCCATCCGCGTTTTGTAGGCTCTTAGTGCTCGTTATTAAAATATCATGTTGTTTAATTTTATAATTCTTGATAATTAAAAAATATTAATTAAAAAATAATATAATTACCGCTGTATCACATGTAACGAAGACGAAACGTTAATTAATTTTGAAGAATTCTATTTATTCTCTATCAGTTTTCGTGTAATATTAAACATATTCTTGCATATTTAAAAATTTTTTTTTTCTAATTATTGCTAATGAATGAAACTTGCCAAAAAATTCATGAATATGAATCATTCTGAAATATAAGAAAATTATTTTGTAAAGGATAGAATTCTTCAAAATCAATTATCATCTTACTTAGACACATATTTGTCTTTGTTCGTAATTATTATATTTTAATAAATGTTTTTTACCTCTAAAAAGATAGAACTTTTTCTAATTTATATGGAATTAGAAATCTTGGAGGATCTGATGAAAAATGATAAGAAAAATCTCTCAGAGTAATGTTTGGAATACTTTATGTTTCAGTTTCGTCTGACGAATTTTTTTTGCTCTAACGGTCATTTGTTTAAATTATCAAGAACTATGAATCTATTTAAATTTAAACCAATATTCTTAATTATTTAATTATGAATTTTTACAAAATGAGGTAACACGTCAACTTCACACACACCATTAAAATTATTAATAAAATTAAGAGAAAAAGCTGCAGCTGTATTATAAATATTTCTGTACATTTTTAAATTTTGATTTAATTTCTGAATTTCGAAAAGCATCAATGTACGTATAAATAAAGGACGCTTACCATACATGTTTCACGTTAATAGCATGTGCGTATTTTTCCATCTACTATTTCTCACGCATAAAACTGGAACGCATTGCATGCGATATATATAAAAAAAATATATGATTCGCGTATCAATTGAAATGAACTGTATTCGTGTCTAATTAAAAAATATATTCTTTAAATAAATATTTCTGTATATCATAAACACTGCACAATATTTTATATAATACATAATCTAATAAGGTAAAAGTTAAACTAAATATAAGAATTCCACAATTTAAATTAACAATTTCTGCAAAGAGAAATTAAATTTTGGAAAATTTATCTGTGGTTGACAAGTCTGTTATTTCCAACTATATGTCTTTTTCGTGCTTTATTCCTTTTATTCAAGCGTGAAATTTAAATTGTTCTCTAGTCTTTATGTCTCTTTCGTAGTCAATTGAAGATTTAAACATCATGGTTTCTAAAAATATTAAAATTTTATCAACTATTAAAAAAATGTAGTAAAATCGGACGAAACTTTAAAAATTAGCAATATTATAGACATTACTGTTATTTATGTATAAAGAAAAATATATATGCTTGACAAAAAAATATCTAATAGGAGGAGCAAGTAGAAAAAGTCTGTTTCTTATATCATCATTACATTTATTGAAACAGTATCCACGTCGATGGGTATTTTTACAATATAATATTCTATATCGCATTTTCGTACGTTTTTCATCTTGTCCTTTTTTGATTCATGCTTAAGTTCTTCTATAACGTAATATATTATCGATTATGAATTGTATGTACAATGCAGTCTAATTTCTTATCTATTGTATATAATGTGCAACACTCTCTGTAAGTATGCGAATCGCGGATGTCGATTATCTAGTTCACAAATAGGTATCTCTCGATATTTTTCTGTTTGATCATTTTTTACGCGCAGGAATATTATCATTAAACCTTACAATTGAGCCGCATATTTTTTCGCTACAAAAAGTTACAACGCAAATCTTTCGAAAAACGATTGAAATATCACAAATAAAATTTTTTTTTATTGAATTAAGTTTGATTAAATATGTGCTTTATACACAGCAATCCCTCGATGTGTAAAGATACTTTTTTTATTCATGAAATTCGACCTTTTAATTTATAAAAAAATGAAATTTTTCACTTTTCACTTGATCACTTTTTATATGATTGCACTCCAAATCAGTCTCTTCGCACCATAGTATGATACGCAATTTTTGTTCAGAGTACATATCAATTTGATAATTGAATTCGTTCATTTAGTTTTTAGTTAATATATCAATATAAATTTTGATATAAATTATATAAAAAATGATAGCACTGTGATATTTCTATTCCAGTTTTTCTGAAGTTTCAGAAGTGATGGACAATTTCCAATGATTGGTAGATCTTATCTTGTATTTTTTCGAGCTATGACGTTATAAAAAATCTATTCTAAAAATCGCATCTTAACATGTTAATTATTATGATATATTTCTTTACTCGTGTTACATTATATTTTGTAATAAATCTACTATCTATTGATTTATCGCTATATCCTATATTACGTACACGGGATTATTTAATGATCAGATCTAGGGTCTTGCTTTCTCTCTCGTATTTTTTTCTTCTCGGAGAAGATGGTTTGAATTGGAAGAAATTAATTGAGCAAGTCATTAAAAGATACTTAACTATTATAGCTTAGATAATCAAAATTTAATTGATTTAGTAAAATAAATGGAGGAATGAATAATTAACCATTTATTTTTAGCAATTTAATGGAAATATGCAATCAGGTTGACACTTAAAAAAAAAATAAAAAAGGTCGACCGATTACTATATAATTTAATATTAATGAACAAAGTTATCAAGTTAATGAAAAGTGAAGTTTTAACAGTATGGAATTATGTCAATTATATACAGACTTATAATTTACTTAAAATGCAACAACTAGTAAATCACCAGTATAATTTTCTTAAAAAGAAAAATTTAGACACTTAACAAATTAATAAATTTCCTTATACAGTAAATATATGAATAAATTGTATAAAAATATCTAAAGTTTTATATTTTTTAATGCAAATTCTTTGAATAGATTTTAATAGATATTAACATATAATAAATTAATTCCGCGCAAATATAATGTAACAATATTTTAAAAAACTTAAATGAGCTCATAAAGGCAACGTTTTATTAATTTTGCAAGAAAAATTTCATTTAAAAATTTTATTAGTTGTGTAAAAGAAATTTTTTTTCTTTTATACTTACATTTTCATCTCTCGAATTATACTTTCCGTATAATATTACTCGACGTAATATTATCATGATACATAATGCGAATACTTATTACTGATCTATTTAAATATACGTATGTACTTCATACTCTCTTATCTATACACGAGCTCCGTGTGTTTTTATATGCTTTAAAAAATGTAATGTCCATTATCCATTGATATTTGATCGATGTCAATTTGATTATATTTTGATTGATCGGAGAATTTATTTTTTGACGTATTTTGATTTTTAAAAAAATTAATTTGATATTCTCAGAACAAAATTCGAATTATTGCAAATGAAATGATATATGATCGATGAATAAACACATCAAGAATAAACTGTGATATTTTAATTATTGAGCGATAAAATAAGATACGCATCAATCATACGAGTCATTTATTAATATTTAAAATTCCTGCTATAATAAACAAACAGAAATATATCGAGAGTGAACCTATCTACTACCATTACTAAGACGATCAATTTTCGTAATTCGCTCATTCTTTTATGAGATAACCGCGTATACTGTTAACATTCTCTTGATGTTGAAACAATTATTATTTGACAACAATCATATTTTTATAAATCCTTTGTAATAATATTTCATAAATTTTTAAGAATTAATTTTTGCTTGCGACGACGTCCTCTTACGTCTTCGACTAAAAAATTGTTGAAATTAAATATTTTAAACGTTTTAAAACGTAATACGCGCGCGCATTAATCTTCTCTCATTTTTTTAAGATAAAAATTTTTTCGTATATTATATCTCTCTTCGCATATTACTTTTTCTTAAATATATTTTGAAGCAAGGATTAGGTTGTCACAAATTTTTCATAATGTTAAATATCTATTTGAAACGTAAATTCTATAAAAACTTTAATTTTAATAAATTTTAATTTCCATAAAAAACTTTAATTGCATTAATTAATTAAAATTTCAAATATTTTCTTATACAAATTTTCAATTTTTCATATAATGTTACCATAAATTCAAATTTAATTTTACGATAAATTATTCTTACAGTTATATTTAAAGCAATAACATCAGAAATGGCATCATATTTGCAAATCAAACATGATCTTAATATTGTTTTTTAGTAATATTATATGTTTAACATAATGTTAAACTTAAATAAATTGAATCTGGGCAAAAATATATAAGCATGTATAAATCAAAAAGCCATTTCTAGCATGAATCGGAATGAATTGTGCTTAAGAAGATAAGTTAGAAGATAAGTTAAAAGTTCCTTAAAAATTTTTACATTATGTACTAGAATTAATAAAAAATATATATACAATATGCCCAGATCAAACGCGCGACGGAAAATGATGGTTGGTCACGTGACGACTCTCGCACGTGCATTGTACTATACAACAAGGTCGCGGTAAATCCTATACGTTCATTAATTGTTTTATGTACAAGAGAGCTTTAACTATCTGATAATCATTACGCAAGTAGTTGACAATCGTTAGATTATAAACTTTAATTTATGTAATAATTATCTCATAGCCATCGAACGGATCCAGCCATCGATACTCGATTTGAAAACATTGGAAATCGCGACAGATCTTATTCTGTATCGAGCACATTACGACTTTATCAATCGATGTGGAATATTCTCTACGAGGCCCTTATTAAATTAATTAAAATACAAATTCTAACTGTTTTCGTACGAGATGAGTAGTTTTTTTCATCACTATAGGGAATCCACGCATATTCGTTGAGCCACATGTCGATTTAATAAAAAGCACAAGTGCGAGAGACTTCTTCTGGCGTAAGATCAATCGCGGCGCCATTAATATGCAATCGAGGATGGTCTTCTGTGCACTTTTCGCATTTAACACGACGATTTCATACAAAAGAAGGGACAGTCTAAGATAGATTTTCGTATTAAAAACGTACGTGTTAAAAACGTAGATTGTCCGCCAATGCGCCCCTTACACAGAACTCTGGTCCGCTGCACATTGTCCGTATTGTTCTTTCATTCGTCACTTTCGAGCACTCGACGAATCGGATACGGATAGCACGTAATAGCGACGAGTGAATTAAAAGCGATTTATCGCAATCGACGATATATTTTTCCGATTTTTCCATTTCACGACCGTCGTTTCTTTCGTTTTTTCACGACCGCCACGTTTACTTTCGATATTGTCGCGACCGTCTCGACGCGTTTGACACTTCTTTTCTTTTTCTCTCTCGTTTAAGATGCGCGATTCACGACACGACTGCTCACCTTAGCAGATTCGCGACTATGAGAGTGATGCTAGCGAGCAAAATAGTCGGGGCCACGCCGCAGCTACCGCCATGTTGCATCGCCGCTGGATGTTCACCTACAACAGAAATGTGCAAACCGTATTTTTAGACCATCTCTGCCTTCAATTTCCCTACATTAATTATTTTGTTTAGTAATTTATTGAAAAAGAATATTTGCACTTTTCTGTATTTCTGTTTTTTTTTTAATTTTTTGCTATTTATCTATTTGATTTATCTATTTATATTCATCTGTTTAATTATTTATTTGACTTTATAGACGGAATGACGCAATTTATTAAATGTTTCATTAAAAGATAATAATCGAGATATAATATTTAATAGAGAAGAAATCAATAAACGTGAATCTTAGCGCATATTTTTTTTTTTTTTTTTTTTTTTTTTAATTACGTGAATCTTAGCGCATACTTCTCTAATGTTCTGTTATTTGTCACATTTACGTGCACCTAATAATGGATAGTTTGATAATTATTCACTGTGGGAGCAGTATAATAACCATAAATATCTAGTAAACCATTCATTTTCGATTATCTTACCTTCATACTTTATGTACAATTAATGAGAGGAATCAATTGGTGTAAAAACACATAGTGTTTCTAAGAAAAATATGTAATTTGCAATTAACAATCCATATTTTTTCTTAAAAACAACTGTATGTTTCTTTACACCAATTGATCCTTTCATTATTTTGTACATAAAAGTATGAAGGTAAGATAATCGAAAAATGAATGGTTTACTAGATATTTATGTTTATGTAAAATTAAGAAATTATTTCAACCCTCATAACTCGCAAGTACTTAATAAAAATGAACATTATTATAGTGTTTTGGAAAGCTCTTGAATTAAGCTATAAGAATATGCAATCAAATGTAGTGTCATTTAAAAAAGTCAATGTGACCTTGACCTGACCTTGACGACGCCATCCAAGGTCAAACTGATAGAATCAGTATATAGATCTTCTTAAACCTTACAACAATATAGAAAATTGGCAAAAGTTAAAGCAAATTTCTCTTATTATCCCAATAACTAATTTTAAATAAACTACGTCACAGACTCGTTACATTGAATATTATCTCAGGTAGGTGCATAACGCAAGAGTTTAATTGCGCAGCTCTAATTAGATTCGCAATGTAGGTTAATCGTTCGTATAACACGTTAAACGCTAAGCAGAAACTTTCCAGCCTAATGACAATCTCACAACCTAGGTTCTGCGTGAAACAACCGGAAAATAAGGAAAGTGGGAAATGCAATAAAATAAATTCTTTATTTTTCCTCAGAAATGATAGTAAATAACATACCATAACAAATAATATGTACATTACAATAAGGAACGCGTTGATTGCTTAATGGTTCAATTACATTGGCTACATATTATCTTTTCATACATATTATTACAAAATTTCTTATCAAGATGATAATTGTTAGTTTTAATTATTCTTTATAAATGATTTTTGTAATTTCCAAATATTTAATCTTTAATATAAATTGAAATGTATTTTATTATACAATTTTCAATTATGTTACCTTTACCTGCACATGTAGATTTCCAATTAAATTTATAAAATTGACCAACTTTTGTAGGATTCATTATAAGGTTCGCGAAAAAAAAAAGGAATAATGCGTTTGACGCAATGTTTGCTCAATGTGCGTTCTAACAGGGTGTAAAACGTGCCATAGCACGAATTGCAAACGAAATATCGCTCTGTTCGGCAATAACTGCAACTACGGCGGGCACCGCATTTGGAGGCGAAACAGCAATTTCTCGCTTCATGACGACGGCGTGCGATATCGCCGTTGCGCACAAAACACATACGCACATGTACGCACACTCACACGTACACGCACACACATTCAATGGCAATAAAGATAATCACGGGTCCGGCGGTAGGAACATAACGGCGGTCCCGCATCGTGGTAACCAGCCGCTTGCCGGTCCCGCCGGAAAGGCCGCAATTTACGAGCAAATTGAAAATCTCATTTGACGGAGTTATATAACCGTTATACCGCGTTTACCTGACCCGTTATCGAAAAATGACACCGGTCCGCGACACTCGAAACGTTGACGGCAGCACATCGGCGGGCACAGTCGACATGCGTAATTGCGTTAATGCGCAGATAGTACGTGGAACGGATAGCCCCGGGGTCTCCCCGTACGGGTTTATCGGGAAATAATTGAAATTTGCGGTCAATTTTGCAGAGTAATCAGCTGTGTTTGAAATAACGTCGATGGCCGATGTGCCGACCACCGCGACCGGGTGCGCCCCGTAAATTAATTATGCAGACGAACTGCGCCGCATTAATTTTCATCCGGCACCGGAAGCGGCCGATCCGTGGAGCGAGGCGCGTGCTCAGCCGGGCGTTTCCGGACGAAAGTGGATGCGATCGATGGTTCGAGGGAGGAAAGTGCGCCGTGGTCGCACGGGGGCGGACGGGGCAAGGGCCGGGTGGAAACCGTGAAAACGTCGAAGAAAGCTTGTTAAGTTCTACAATTCGATTGCCGTGCAAACGCGCGGTGTATACGTGGCGAGAGATCTAGTTGCCTAGTTGCCGAAAGGGTTTGTTGATTTTTGTAGCACTCCAACATGGGGAGCTTCGATTCGAAAACATTAATTTAATCAAGGGTTGAGAGGAGAGTCCAGCGGTATTGTAAATTTATTGCGCTGTTGGCCAGGATGCACGCTGCGTCAGGGATAGAATGGAGCAAAATGAAAGTTGCGAAATATTGATGCAGTTTTTTTTCACTGAAAAATATTGTGCGGAGACAAAAATTACATTATACGAATAAAACGACGGCAGTACACTCATATAATAATTGTAATTATTCTTATAATTATTTCACTCCGAGGTATAATTTTTTATAGTTTCTTAATATTTCAGTTTGAATATTCTTTATTATATAATCACTTTATTATTCTTTATTAATCATCATAAAATTAAAATTCTGTATTATAATATATAATTTCAGTAAAATTTTCTTAAAATTTACTGAAATAACAAAGGATAAAATTTTGTTACACATTGAGAACATTAAAGTCTAAATGGAAAAAAAGTTAATTCTAATTATATACTGCAAATATTATTACGTAAATTTGAACGTTATTTTGAAATTCCATCCATTTGGCATATATTTCCCAATTACATGTACATATTTCATTTTCGTGAGAAAATCCCCAATAATTGAGACATTTTATCAAAATCTATAAATATTTATTATGGTGTATAAATCTTTCTACTTTGGGTACAGGGCAGGATGCGCGAAAGTTGTCAATTTCGAACAGCTGCAACGAATTTCGCGAGATGCGCGTGCCGGGACAGCAAGCTCGCAATGATTGACAGTTTGGATTGGTGAACTTGCCGAACAAGATATTACATGTGTTATCGCAAGCGCACTGTGTCGGCTGACAATAGATCAAAAACGGGAGTATATGCGTGCGGTGCCGAGTACTTGCGACTCCAATATACGAACCTGTCAAACTTTATGACGGGGGATTTCGATACTTGATGAATGAACGCACATCGTCTCTTTCGAATGTCACATTTCAGGAGCCTGGCTTTCTGTCAACTCGCGTCGCGAATACGTGAGCGTTTATTAACGTGAAATTTGTTGGTCGTGCAAACACAATTTAGAAGTTGTCCCGGAAAATTTTTCTATTCCTAAGTCTTTTTATTAAATAAATATTTTTTTCAAAGATGACACAATAGAATGAAAAAGATAATGCGCGGAATTTTTAAATTTTATGTCTATAAAAACCTAGAAATTTGTCAAATCAAACTTCTATTTTTCGTAATAATAGATGCAGAATGTTAAAAAATAGAAGAAATTTGAAGTATAAAATAAGAAAATGAGGTTTAAAGTAAATATGAGGTACTCAACTAAATGAATAAATAAAGTTTATGTCTTAAATAAGATATGTATATCCTTAAGTAACACGTAGGTATAGATAACATATAGACATTTTTGTAGCAGAAATAATTTATCTACTTTATAAGTAAAATACAGGGAGATTAGAGAGAAAGAAAAAGAGAGAGAGTATCTTGTACATTAATTTAATATAATAAATAAATAGTTAATTATCATAATAAATAAATGAAAAAGCTAAGTAATCATGCAATAATAATGTATCAGATAATTATACTCTAATTAAAAGGAATGTAATATATTTCAAATATGTACCTTTATGCGTGCGATAGATAGTGACGTTGAAATGGATTATCAGCCATTATATAATGTCCATTTATAATATTTCGTTTGCAAAATACAAAAACTGAATGCATATGCGAGTAAATTTATTAAATCATTGAAGTATAAATGTGCATCTATCAAAATAATGGTTTGCAGATTTATATTTGAGCAAAGTTTTATTTTAAGGTTGACAAATAGAAACGAATATTACAGCATTAAATGTTGTAATTTATTACTATGACTTATCATGTTACGTAAGATACCAATAACTTTATAAACTTTATAATATATATAATTTATTTAAGTTATTTTGGATTAGATCTAGAAAAAAAATCTTAAATTTAAATATGAGAAATATTATTGATTGTATGTGTTATAAAAAAAAACTTTATTTATCGTTTCATATGTTTATGGAATTAATATGCAATTATTTATAAATATATCTGTGTTTTTTCAATCTAAAAGCATTTCGATATCAATTTAAAAAAGAAAAATCACAATATTTTTTGAAATTTTTGTTAAAACAAAACTTTGAGATAAATTTAATGATTATATGTTAATAAATTCTATAACTTTCAATTTTTTTCTTAATGATATGTTTTATGTTTTTAAATAATAATATTATAAATAATATTATATACTTTAATATTACATCTTTTTGAAACTCAATCATTATCAAAATGAAAATGTTGGATTCAGCGAAATACGAGACTTAATAGGTAGTTGTATATTTAATCGAATAAACTCGTACGAAACTAGACACCACGAATTTTTTCCAGATACCTCTAAAACGAATATCATGCAAATCGGTTGCAGTTAATCGAAAATAAGCGGTCAGCCGCGAGCTCTGATCGAATTGCGTGATATAGTGGACGTGGAAAATGCGGCATTACAAGAATGCCGACATGGAAATGTTTATACGCCAATGCTTGGAGATTTTTTTCGCATGCGATAGCTCTTGAGTATGCGTATGCACGCGACGTTTATCGAAAAGCGTGCACATGATGCAGCAACTCAACTTGACTCGACTTGACTCGCTTCTCCGCCGGGTCGCAAAGAAAAAATGGAGCCATGGAGAAAAGGAGAGAAAAATTCGACCATATCGAGATGATATATCGAATCGCATGACGTAAGAAAGATTTTACGTTCATAATTTAATCCAATAAAAAAAAGAAAATAAAAATGATTTATCCCACTAAATATTGTAGATTAATTTTGTGATACATTAAAGATTACCAAAAATAATAAAGAAGATTACCATTACTCATATCGAAACAAGCTAGATAAAATATTGCAGTTTAATATTTCTATAGTTTAGATAATTCGTTTGTATAAGTGAATTATATTGTAGTATAGAGCGTGCAAATTGTCGAGAACTTGCCTCTGACTTTGTTTATCGAGCGAGAGTTTCGAATGGTTTGCAAGCAGCATATCGTATTTGCTGAATAGAAACTAATTGATCTTTATAAAGTAGTAAACTCTCAGTTTAAATGTCATGCAATTCGATGTACATGTAATTTAATTTGCATCGTATTATCTTGTCGCTCTCTCTCTCTCTTTTTCCCTCTCTCTCTCTCTCTCTCTGTCTCTCTCTCATTCAGAATTAGTGAAATAAATGAATAAATGTACGAAACCAATGAATAAAAAGGAACTTACTTCATGAGATATGTCTAAGCCTGAATATAAAATTATATTTAGTTGTCACGATAAAATTCGTCATAAATGCATTTTGCATTTGTTGAAAATTTAGCAACTTATCGCATCGTGTGGGAAGCGGCTTGGTAGATAATTCTCATGATATATGAAGGTTCTCTCCAGTGTCAGGTTATCTGAATATTTTAACCGCGAATATTCAGACGTTTCTATCGCGATATGTCATTAAGCAGCCCTGAGTATCCGAATATCCGGATATCCTACCGCCGGGTACGTCGCGAGGCGAGGGATGATGGACTGCCGGATAAGTCTGCATCATAAAAAAAAATCGCTTACCATTCAGCACGTGGACCATTATGCTCGCTGGGTTCGCGTTGCTAGGGATGCAGGTGTAATTTCCGCTGTCGGTCAATCTGGCCTGTGTCACCAGTAGTCTGCTCGTCGTACCGGTGTCTGTTTTCTCCGTCTCCAGGGAAACACCGCCCCTGCGGTGAACACTGAATTATCGCAGATACTTTGACGTCGTTCTCATCTCACACACATCGCTACTTTGTGATTAGTTCTCTCTGCAGAGAGAAGACGCAGCGCTTACAGCGCGAAATGTCAACAACAAGTGAAATCGTAACACAAATAGTAACGTGATTGCGCGCAGTTAAACGTTCGTCAACGTTTGATCCGACGAGAGCGTGACAGAAATGAAAAGTTTATTCGCATCAGATGTCTTCTCTGTTAAACTGATGTATAAAACTGATGTGTTAAAAATGCGATTACAAACGCATAAAATCTGTCAAATGTCTATGATAATTTCATCGAGTAATATATCGTAACACTTTTTGACAGTACAAGTGACACATCTCATTATCGCTGCAGAGAGAAAAAAATGGCAGAGGATAATTTTTATTTTAGAGCATTATCTGTAGATTAATCCGAACAAAATTGCCGGATAAAGTTTGTTTGCTTCTTCGATTTTTCACGATACTTGTTTTGAAATTGGAGGGCTTGAAAAGGATTAAAGATGAGATACTCTAACGCTTTCAGTTTGATCGACGATATATCCCAAAGTAGCGAAAAATCAACCGAAGCTTTCCCTCTTGTTTGTTGAAGGGAGAAAACGCGCGAAACATCACTAAAATCTCGTCTGATTATGTGATAGTAGCGGTAACATCCACGATCGAACAGGAACATGTATGTGTATAAATGCGAATATGTGTGTGTAAAGAAAGAGGAGGGTTGCGAAGGAGCGAAACTGAGAACTCGAATCTCGCGGCTTGTACCTGGGACTGTCGAAATCCACCACGGCACCTCCGTGATGCCACGAAACGCTGCTGGGAGGCGTACTTCGTACATTAACTTCACACGTGAGGCTTATCGTGCTACCCTTCTTCACGTAGACGTCTTCCGGTCCCAGGATTGTTGCCTGAGCAGCTGCAACATACGTTGGAAACCGTACGCTTAAATATTCCGCATCCGTATCCACGTATATCTGCGCTAATTGATAGTTCGGAATTGGGAACGAACTCTTTGTCTTTATTGATATTAAATTCATTGTTGGCACAATTTATAATAAAATTGTGTGGGAACTATTTTTCGGTTTGTTTCACTATGTGCTTGGTGTTTCTTTAGGCAATGTGCGTGAGTGTAATAATAATAAATGAACTCATGCTCAATATGAATGAGACTATAAATATATGAATGAGACTCAAAATGGCGATAAAATTAATATCATATTTTCTATATTACTAGAGTTTATTGAAAAATTTATTGTTTGCCACATGTTGTTATATAAAAGGCTGGAAATTTTTCTACAGTAACTTCTCGTTTCTCGTTTGTAGATTTATATTTTTGACACGAAAATACAATGTCATTTGTATATATTACAAAAACTTTATTATTAAGTCTACATTATTATCGAAGAAATGTATGTATTTATGAATTTATTATATTTCATAAGATAATCTAATCTAATATTTTATAGTATAATCTCTCCTCTTTTTCACATTTTCTATATAAAGATATAAATATTGAACAGAAAAATGCAAATACATACATACATATTAACATGATTAACACACTATCTCAATATATATTATAGCGGAAAGAAAATAATATAATTCTGCATTGACATCAATTGACTAAATTATTACGTTATATTTGGATAGAAAAAGAGAGTATTCTGCTATATATTAATATATTATCCATCTTTGAAGTATTAAAATTACCATATATCGCGATTTTGAAAATATTGTCAAAACGACGCGTTTACATACAATAAATTTTTAACTTTAAAAATTTTGTTTCTTTAAGGTATAGTCGACAACATGTCTATTTAAACTTGTGGAATAAGCAAAATTAAAATTTTTTACTTTAATAAATTAATATTTCTATAAAAAAATTATAATATAAATTAATTTCTAAAAATATATACACATATAAACTAATTTAATATAGCAATATAGAATTATAATAGGATTGTAATATTCTAGATTCTAAAATCTAGAATATAGAAGCGTTAATTTCCTTTTAAATGCATTATTAAAATCATATTGAAATTTGTTAATAACAACTGTAGGCTAACAAGACTGTTTTGATTATGCTAACAATACTTACTTCCTATTCAAATCTTTTCTCAGCAATTATTTTAGAAAATATAAGAAAAATACATATTAATACACAATTAATAACATGCAAACTCTCGAAAAATTTATCTAAGAATAACTATAAATTTTCTAAATTATGGAAGAATGCAATTTTATTTATTCGAAATATAACATTTCGCATCGATAAACTCTATCATTAGCAGCTATAAATAAGTTGAGGCCATTCAATTATTACTCAAGAGAGATTTTATGTTCGAGTTTTTACCTTTTCAGAAACACTCGGTTGTCGAACGACTCGCCAAACGTTTTACGCGTGGTATATTTACGACTTGCAATATTGCAGAGGATAATTAGCACGTGTTAACGTCTCTCTCTCAGCCATATCCTCCAAAAAAGAAGGAATTTATTGACAGTTTCGGATGTTTCACGTAACAATGTCTAAACAAAAAGCCTCTCCATTTGTCCCTTCTCATACTACGACCTCAACTCATTGACGAACAAAACCTATCGGGTTTAGCCGGTTTTTTGTGCTATATACAGAAAAAGATCCATGCACTGTTATCACACGCAACTAAATATTGCAAATATAAAATTTCTAGCTGCTAGCAAATTTAACAGCTTGGAAAAGGAGTCTGCTCTTGCGTGAGTCTAACCTGAGTTGAACGTCCGGTGAATGGCGTTCGGTGTGGTGGTGGCAGGGACAGGGGCACTTTCTGGAATGGGAGGACAGAAAAGATATCGAGTTAATCGATTTCGTCGAGATCTATTGTTTCGGGGCTGAGAATTGAACTAACGTCGAAAGCACTACCGATTTATATGAACCGCGTATACCTGCAAAGTTTCGAACAGAAAAAAGTTTCGTTGCTAACGAAATCGCAATTTATTGCATTCTATTTCTTTTCTTTTTTATTACCTATCTTCTTTTCTCTTTTTTCTACGTACGTGTGTCGTTATTAGAGAGTTTTGGCGGAGTTTTGGCGATTTCCAGTTTAATGTTTCGAAGACTTCTGTCTAGTATAATGGAGTTTAATTTATAATTTTAATAAATAATTATAATTTTCATTAATCCTATAATTTTAATTAATCCTGTTTAAAGTCTTTTGAAAAATTAAATGATAAAATTGATAAAATTAAATTGGGATTGATGAGTAAATATCTGCTTTAAATTCACAGATATTTATATAACAGATTCTTTTTATTTATAGATTTTGCGTTGAAAACGCATTAAGCTTTTTTTTAATAAAAAGAATTTTAATCGTCGAGATATTTTCTTATTTATGCAAGTATCGTATATATACATATATATAGATATGTATTTATGTATTGAAAGACGAAATCGATGCGGTGCACTGGTAATCAAAGTGACTGCAATGTTATGCGATTACTCGATTAGAGAAGATGCAACAAAACTAATCGATACTTTAGGATATTTTTCACGTAACAGACATGCAAGCGAAAGCATTAATCACTTTAGTCATGCTGGTGCGTAATCGAGTATCCAGCAGTGTCTTTCCTGATCAATCAGGTGATGGACACTTACGAAAGCGTTCAGGTATTCCTTCATCTATCGTAAATTACGCAAAATATTTACAGCGGCAGATAGTCATTACGGAATCTAATTTAACCCTTTCATAGTTTCTCGCTTGATTTAATCGAAGCAAATATTGTAAAATTTAACGTGAGATTTAAAATATTTTAATATACTGCAATAATAAATTTGTTTCCATAATATGTATTTAGAATTATAAAATGTATATAATGTGATATAATATATATGCGCATATGTGTGTATGATAATTAAAATATTAAAATACATATTAAAATTTATATACATTTAGAATACATTAATATTTTTAAAATTAATTATTATCTATTTTACAAAGAAAAAGAGAGAGAGAGAGAGAGAGAGAGAGAGAGAGAGAGAGAGAGAGAGAGAGAGAGAGAGAAAGAGAGAGAGAAAAAGTATGTGCGTATGTGTATCATTTTTTTCGTCATAAAACTTATTCGAAAATTCATACATGTTCATATTTATTACTTTAGTTTATTTCTTTTATTAATTAAACGATCCATGAAAGGGTTATCTGATAGATGTCTAGAAACTTTACGACCTTGATTTTACCTTCCACTTTTAACATGAAGGCTAAGTTCATTTTGGGCTCGGTGTTAACCTGACATTCGTAAACCCCGGCGTCTCGCGGTTGGACATAATTGATCTTCAGCGTCCATTCGTCGGATGGTTCGGGGTGCTTAACGGAAAATCTTGCGTCTCCTGTGTAAGCGTGGATCGATGACGTCAGAATATGTAAATCCCTCTTACGTATCCAGGAGACCTGCAACCAAAGTGAATGCCCGATTAGACTCCATCCTCCCGAAATCCGACCATCGATTTGCTGATCCGAATAATTGATATGATTATCCAAATGTTGCATATCTGTTTTCCTGAGGGAATATTATTCGTATTGCAAAAGTGCAAAACATTAACGATCGCAATGAATTATATTTACACGTCGGTGAAGAGCTTCAAAATAGCTTCAAGAAAAATTATCAGTGAAATATTACTAGCTCATATTTACAAGTTTGATGAAAAATAAATTCAAAAGCTGTATAAATAAATGTTAATCCTTCGTTAACGAGCAATTTGAGTCGTACTTTGATTTATTTATCACCGACGTATGGTTCCGACAACGAGCGAGCTAAGCTCCGCTGACTTAAATAGTAATTTACATTATTAATCCGATTTTTCTGCCAACTGAAATATTTATTGAAAAATAAAATTAAGGAAAAAATGAACGCGCCAATATGCAGTTATTTGCTTTCCTATAAAAGCGACCTAACGTTTTGTTGCATCGAGCTTTTGCTGCCATTCAATTTTAAATCAGAATATTGCTCTACTAGATATTTCCAAAACATATGTTTTTAGATCAAAATACAGTGATTACACAGGAACAATCGTATCCGATCGACCTTAATTCATCAAATAATAGCAATCAGCCGATAGCGCAATTAATCGACTCCAGATTAATCGGTATCCGACTATCCATTTATTTGATCAATTATGTCAGCCGTCATTAACCCCGAATACTGCCGCCTCATTTGCTTTAAAAAGCAATGCTCGCTTTTGGTCGTTTCAGCTGTCATTCTCTATTGTCGGCGGAAATATTTCGAATTCAACAATAACTTCCGTGGTCGCGCAAGCGTGTAATGCATCGACGATCAGTTCAGTCGGCCATTGTTACAACGCTTTCTGCACAAACAAACGTAATGTGTAACGTTTTGTTGTCCACATAAAAGTTAAATATTGTCACTTCACGTTGCAAATAAATATTACATTTTATCGACGTCGTCATCAATTGTTGATCGAATAAACACGTTGTGATAAGTGAATTATCGTTTCGGCATACATCAAAATTTGTAATTTGAAAGCGTCGCAACTTGGCACATACACGTTTGTAATTTTAACGTTACAAGCAAGATATTGCATTATGCGGTATACAGTTTCATCTATTAAGTATGATTTTAACTTTTCTGATTATTTTCGATTTGCAATTGACACGTCATAATCGCGGCTATGTCAAAATATACATTTTCATGCATGCAAATCTTCTGTGCATATTATCCTGCTAAAAACTTTACGTTATTTTCTTAGAATTATTTTAATGTTATAAAAGATTTTTAACAGAAGTATGCAAAAAATAATTTTTAATAATAATTTAGTAATTGTTTTTTATGTTATATTTCCAAAAAAGTAGGATTTTATCATAATTGAATAATTACTTTTCACATTATTAGATATTCTCACGATTTTTAGAGTTGCGATAAAAATAATATAATATATATTCATTTTTTTAATTTCACGATTTAATACTAGCTTACATATTTGAATATTTAGATTACTTTTTCGATAAAAATTGAGTTTCTTTCGAAATTGAGTCATTGCCATTTCGTGCATTAATTCTGGCCAGACGCCATAAATTTATCTCGTTTCAAAAATCTGATTTTCTAAACTTTTCATCTATTTGTCTCAATTTTCCTTATTCCCGATGTCTCCTGGCGATTTGTCTTTCTTTGATCTTTTCTTTTTCTTCGTATCAAATAGAAAAGAATTATTATATAGATTGCAGGCTTGCTTCAATTTTCATTTTCTTCAATCGCAAATTGCGCAATGTTTCTCTTAAAGAGGTGCTCTATATAAGTTGGAAATAAAGCAAGAAATTCACCTACTCGAGGGAAATCTCTCTAGGTGATCGCGGTGAAGCATTCTCTCGAATTGCTCGAATTTCTCGAATGCCTGGAGCCGATACGACATCGGTATCATTTAATCGATGACGATGGCGCACGTATAACGACCGGATTGGAAAAACGCATTAAGTCTCCCCGCGCTCGCAAGGGTGGCGTACGAGATGGCCGTTAAAGGTTGTCTCCGAGCCACCCCAACAATTATAGAAGTACGTGCTTCCGATGGGTGCACCTACAAGGCATCCTTGGCGTCCCTTCCGACTCGCTATCGGAGGTGGTACGTCTAACCCTAGCAACGGGGGGATCGTTAAACGTATGTTCTTCCCAGGAAGAGGACTCTCACTCCTTTCATTAATTATTCGCCATCGTATCCTTCCCGCAACCACCTTGGATTTAGAATGACATGATCCTTTCGTTTGGAACGCTCGATGGACGAAGTTCTAGATATTAAACGGATTGATAATGGTTGATTTTCTGAGTCGAAAAGTTATATTATCGAATTTAATTCATTTTCTTGTTCTGTAATATCATTGGAACATTTTTTGTTTTCATTCACTCATTGTTTTCATTCTGCTGAGCCTTGAATAATTACTTTACAATGTGAAGAAGCAGAGAGCTCAATTTTTTTTCAATTCTATAACTCGTGATAGTTATAGTCTAAAAACTGTTTTTTAAAAGTGATTTGTATAACTCGTGACAATAGCGGTTTTTTAAAGTTGCGTCCATGAAATGTTTGACGTACTTGTTACGCTCTAACATATTTATTTTTTATTGTAACGCTGTAGGCGTTTCCATGCAATTTGAGCCTCCTCTTTTTATTTGTTTATTAATATTTTCGATAATTGAATAATATTTTTGGTGTATTCAATATTTATTGTTAAAATTATAATTAAAAAAATCAATATGTTAAAATTATAATAAAAATAAATATGAGAATAATTGACAATTTTTAGAAAATATTAAATTAAAAATTACAAACTACATCTTGCTTAATTGGTGCATCAAATTCTGACATTTCCAAACTTAAACAATGTTTAAAATGTGATAAAATTATCAAAGATTGATAGTAATTGCGGAAGCTAATTTTTTCCGGAAGATTAGGAGCTCGGAGAAGAAGAAATAGAAATTTAATATAAATTAGAAATACGGTCACTTCCTTCTTTTTATCGTATTCCTCCTTTTTATGTATCTCTTTTCTTCATCCGCGATTATAGTTTCGCGCCTTTTATATATGTATATAGCACACCTTTTATATATGTATTTTATATATGTACCACCGGAGAAAATTAAATATCCTTTAGCTTCTACGTTTTGCCCCTTGGGTCCGGAACCTTCATAATTTAGCCACGAAAATTTTATAGTTCCGAACTCTTAACTAGCCACTGAGATTACGAGAACAGGAATGTTACGTGCTCGACGCGTTATCGTGTCACTTTATTACAGCGATAGTAAGATAAATAAATGGGTTACATTTGATGCATTGCTCGCATTACTTACAATCGTAGTGTTATTTATAATGATGTTTAAATAAGTGTACAAAAACTCATTCTTCTTGACGACAACTCTTGGGTAAATTTAATTTAAGAATAATAATTAATAATTAATTTAATAAAACTAAATTAAAATGGTTAAACATGTCTTTTAAAATATATGCATAAATGTATATCCATTTTATCGCAATTTGATCCAAATTTAATTATAATATTCTGTAAATGTAACCTTGAAACAAACATCTTATTTCTAATCATTTTATCGTTGAAATTAAACTATTTGAGATTGTATTAAAATCTTTGTGATATATATATTTCTAAAAATAATCAATGCAATATATAACGAGATAGTTAAATTTGTTTCACAGTTTCCAAGCACAAGAAATACGCTCTTTCTGCCAGCAACGAGAAATTACGAGGGAACAAAGGATCGCAATGTGGCGCCACTCTTAGAAATCAACGCGTCTCTGACGTACGAATAGTGAAATGAAACGAAAGAGCAGCATCCTTCTTGGACTGCTCTTCTCTTGGCTTTTGCTCGTCTCGTCTTGCATCCCGCAGGAATATCCGAGAGAAGAAAGAAACAAAGAGAAATAGAGAATATGTATGTATGTGTGTATATGTGTATGTGTGTAGGTTTACGACGAACCGAATGGTACATAAAACATTTCTAAGCACAATTTGCCAGGCGGTTAGCGAGCTTTCAATGCCTTTTGCCTGTCCGAAGATTTACTATTTTCTGCTTAGGTCAACTCGGTTTTAGGAAAACAGACTGAAAAAGCTCTTTGTGTGATTATATGATGAGACGTGTCATTCAGCGATCTCTGTTTCTTTTTAATTTGTTATCAGAACAGATAGAATGAATTCTAAATACATACATTTACTGGGGAGAGCGCATAAAATTGAGTGAAAATTACACTATAATTTAGCGTAAGATGGAAAGTCATTTCTTAGAAATATCACTTCATTTTGAATAAAAATTGATCTATTTATTTATATCAACTTCTTTAATAATAAAATGACTGATGTTTGCTGAAAATGACATTCAAAATGTGGATTGTAATTTATAAATAACGTTCATCATTATAATGCGAAGAAATTTTACTAGAAAGCTTATGATTCTTTTTCATTTTTTATTTTTTTTAATACATAAATGCTACATAAATTTTGACATTTTTACACTGTGAAAATTCCATCAATTCAAGCTCAAGTTTTCGTAACCATTCACTGTAATCTGATGATATAAAAGGTTTTCCGTGTGGATATGTCGCGTGACAATTTCAATGTATCCTACAAACTCCAGATAAATTCTATTTACGTCATGAGTCTTGATATACAAGTAGTCGCACTTTTGCACAAGTCAGTCGACATGTTGTGTCACAGCTCGAGTTCTCATTTCTTTTACTAGTTTTTTTTTTCGAGTTTTCGTGGGATCTCGGGACGCAGTCAGACATGTCGATCAATTTAACCAAGACAGTTTGTATCCGGTCGGTTTTGTCTCAAGCGTGAACTAACAGACAATATCGACTGATGTGAGTGAAATAAAAGAGGCGAAAACAAAAATTTAGAAAAAGCTGCTTGAGAGCTTTGACACGATCCATTTA